GGGCGGCTTCCTCTTGCTTTGGGCACGCCGCGTCGTCTAGCGAGTGGCCAAACTCATGCAGTCCGCACGCTGCGTCTTCTTATTGAGCTCCAAGATGTGCTTCTGGCGGGCTTGGCGCTGGCGGTCGTCGAATCCATGGTTCGAGCTGCTGCTGCTTCTCGGTGCCGGCTGTGGCGATACGCGCCGCTGCCCCTTGCCGCGCGAGCCGCCTCCCCCACGGGAGCGCCCCTTCGCACCTCGGCCAAGAAACGACTGACTGACGCGCGTGGGAGGCTTGCGCCACTCATTGAAGATGTAATCGCGAAGCTGCGCGACTACGGCCAGCTCCTCGGCCTCCTCGGGGGACAGGTATGATATGTTGGCGTCGGCGGAATAGGCGTCGAGGGCGCCGTCATCCTCGTCGAGCCCTTCGCCAGTTCTTTCGCAAATCCTTGTCGTTGAACTCCCCAACATCCTTGAAATAGGCCTGATCGTCGTACTCGCTGCATTTGTGCTCGTTATCGTCGCCGCTTGCATGGGCGCTGGCCAGGTAGCTCCCCTCGCGGCGATCCTGACGTCGATCAGTCTGGTGGTGGAAGGCTGGGCACTGAGCTCGACGTGCATGCCCGATGCCCGAAATCTTCCATGATCTGTTGTTGCTAGCCAGGGCCGCGGCTGGCCCCTTCATGCTGATGTCCGAGAGGCGTATGATGAGGGCGGCTTGAATATCCTCGATGACGGCGGTGTGTGAGCTGACCTCCTTCCACGCGGTAAACTCCTTGCGGCGGCGCATCACGCAATTGACAGTTGATTCGTTTCTGCTGTGCCAGACTGCGCTGCCATACAATGCTGTGCCGGATATATCGGTAGATCGAAGTGGCGCAATGTCTTCAACGTCCTTCTTCAACTCTGTCAGTAGCAGTCTGACTCCGTCGCTTGATGCGTTGCCTTTTTCGTCTGCCGTCAAAAGATTCACGTGCGTGGGTTTTCGTACTGAACCGCTGAGGCCTTAGCGAAGACGTAGCACAGTGGCCTTTTGTTTTGGGTGGTCCTTCAAGGCCGTAGCACAGGTCCCAGCAACTTTCTTCGTGCTCGGTGAACTGCTCTGGCCTGCCGCCATACTGGGGAATGCCAGTCCTGTCCAGCTCGATGGACGCCTCCTTTATGATGGATCACGCGAGGATGCGGATGAGAGCGTCGCAGGCCAGGTCGTCGATGAGGTGGTCGGCGGCCGCATCGGCGGCGGACCAAAGGCGGGCGCGCGAGCTGCACGGCCTCGCCCCCGTGGTCGCCGGGGGCGGTGGCGGCGCTCGGCGGCGCCAAAAGGCGGCGCGCGGAGGCGCGTGGCACTCGGCGGCGCACGCGGCTGGCGCGCGGCGCGGAGTCGCACGGCGGCGCCCGGCGCGCGCCCGCGGCGGGGCGCGTCTGATATGGATCGGAACCGATCAGGCCCGCTTGCCATCTTCCTGCCCCAGGCGGGGCAGGAAGGTGATCATCTCGCCATCGCTCGGACGTCCATTCCCTGTGTTTTTTTGGTTTCGTGCGTGGTTTTTTCGCCAAATGATCAAGGATGATCCTCGATGGTCCCCACCGAGGAAAAAATGCACACGTCCGAGCGATGCCAGATCACGAATCTTGTCTCCACTGAAGCTGACAGGGTGCCCCACGGAGAATCACGATCCGCAGGGCAAACTCAGGACAAAAGCATCGGATCTTTCTTATACAGTCGTCATCCTACACCTCCTCCCCCTCCTCCTCCCCCTCCTCCTCCTCTTCCTCCTCCTCCTCCTCCTCCTCCTCCACCCCCGCCTAGTCGACAATCCTTCGGGCGGCCCATCTGCTACGTTGCAATGGTCAGAGGGTTCTGAAAACAGACTCGCCGATTGGACTCAAACAAGCGCTTAGCCTGAGAATTCCTCCCAATCTGGGCGCGCCCAACCCGTGACAGACCTGGGGTCAACACTGCGACTGAAGGCCGAAGCGGCATACCTGCTACATCGCGGTGGCCATGTGTTTTGAGAACAAACTTGTCCACTGTGCCAAAACGTGCGGTTCCCCTGAGAGGGCCCCGTAAACTGACTGTGAACGAGTCCGTGAAACTCCCGTGGCCAGCACCCCCTGGAAAAGCCAAAGCGGAATGCCTGTTGCATGTCAGAAAGCTCTGACAAGAGAGCCGCATGCTGGGCCAGAGCGGGAATTTCGCCTGAGAGGCCCCCACCATCATGGGAGCGACCGTGCCCTTGAGACACCCCTGGCCAAGATCCCCTTGGGAGCCCTACGCGCCATGGCCTTCAACATGTCTGTGACCATGCGACTCTGGGAATGAACTCGTCGACTGTGCCCAGCAAGCAAGGGCTCCCAGCTTCGCGCTTCGCGCTCCGCGAAGCGCGAAGCGCGAATAACTTCGCGTTCTCGCGCCGCCCCCCCAAAGGGAGAAGAGGAGGACGAGGAGGAGGGGGAGGAGGAACGAGGACCGCGAAGCGCGAAGCGCGAATAACTTCGCGCCCTCGGGGGAGCCCTTGTTCAACATGTCTGTGAACATGCGGCTCTGGGAATGAACTCGTCGACTGTGCCCAGCAAGGTGCTTCGCCCCACTTGAACGAAGGATTGCAAAACGAAGGATTGCAAAAAATTGCAAAAAAACGAAGGACTGCAAAAAAACCCTCGTTTTTTTGCAATCCTTCGTTTTTTTGCAATCCTTTTTGCAATCCTTCGTTTCTTTTGCAATCCTCTTTGCAAAGCCCCACCCGATCCGGGCGCGAGCGGGCCCGGTGGAGACCCGCGGGGGGTCGCTGCGCCCCGGGGGCGGCCCGAGCGCGACGCCTGCCGCGCCGCGGCGAGATCCTCGGGCTCCGAGCAGCGGGTGGCGCCCGGAGGGGCCCCGCCCGAGCGGGCCCTCGGTCGGCACCCCTTAGGTCGGCACGCCTCGGGGAGGCCCAGCGGTGCCGTGCAGGCCACGGTCGCGGGTGGCCTCGTGGGCCTCGGGGGGAAAGACTCGCCGACCGTGCCAGGACGGGCAGGTCGCCCCCGCGGGGGCGCGAGCAGGCTCGTGGCGCGCCCGCGGTCGCCACCCTCTCCGGGGAGGCCCGCGTGACGTGCCTGCCGCGCGGCGGCGGTCCTGCACCGGTCGCCCACGCGGCCCCAAAGCGGGCGCTCCGCCGCAGAAGTCTCCGCAATCTGGGCGCGAAGGGGGCGGAGGCACGCCCGCGATCGACACCGCCTCGGGGAGTTCCAGGTGCCATGCCCGCTGCGGGGCCGCAAAGGGCGCTTCGCCTGAGGCGTCCCCACACTGTGGGCGCGAACAGGCCTGCGCGCTGTGCGACACACCTGGTCCACACCCCAATTGGGAGGCCCACGCGCCATGCCTGCCACAACCAAGTGACCATGGGGCTCAGAGTAATTTGATGGTAAGTGAGCTTGAGTTTGGGTGATTGGTGATGGATGAATCTGAACGCGAATAGGTGAATCTCAGTGCGAGTGAGTGTGAATGGGAGTCATTCTGAGTCTGAGTGAGTCGGAATATGAGCGGATCTCAGTATGAGCGGGTCTGAATGTAAGTTGATCGGAGCGTGAGTGGTCTGGGTATGCGTGAGTCTGAATAGGAGTGAATCAGTCTGAGTATGAGTCTGAGTGTGAGTGAGTCTGAGTATGCGTGCACAGTAGTTGATTGCATCCACTTGTCAGCTGGCTGTTGCCATCATCGCTTTGGCGGGCGTCGAGCTTCCGTGCGATTAGCATTGACGGCATGTGTTCGCGTCAAAAGAGGTGGAGTGACACCTACTGCATCAACCAGGAAGAACCATGACACCATGCTGAAACGACAACACGGCGCCCACACGCGCACGACCAATACAACACAACACACGGCGTAACCGGCCATACATCCAACAATGTGGGAAATCGTTTGGCAGAGTCCCAAAACAAAACAGCCGATACCATTGTCGTGTACATTGTTGCTGATTGTCCCTGCGCTTCTGTTCATGTGGTTGCCGTTTTACTGCGTGCATGTGCTTTTTATCGGACGCAACTGTCTCCGCGAAGAACACCTGTATCGTCCAGTAAGCGAGGACATCCGAATTTCAAAAAAGCGCAATCGAATAGGACTGCTGCCCTGATCCTCTCACCTCCTGAGTCTGCCTCCCCTCCCCGCCCACTTCCCTCCCCATCTCCCCCTCCCAGTTCTCTACTCCTCCCTCCTCCTCCTCCTCCTCCTCCTCCTCCTCCTCCTCCTCCTCCTCCTCCTCCTCCTCCTCCTCCTCCTCCTCCTCCTCCTCCTCCTCCTCCTCCTCCTCCTCCTCCCCCCCCTTCTCCCAGCCCTCCCTCCTCGAGCCTCTTCCCGCCCTTCTGGGTTCGAAGAGCTGGCAGCTGAACTAGAGAAGCAACAGCGAGTCAAACAGCTCAGGAGGCGGGCCTTTCGCCTCCGAGCCCTGATGCCCCACTGACGAGGGCCTGCTCCCCCTCTCTCGCGGGAGGCAATGCTCATTCGAGCGAAGGCTTGTTCCTTTCGAGGCACCCCCGGCGCCACAGTAAGCCGGCATGGGGCACGATCAGGTCCATACAAATGGCCAGAAAGGGCTGGAGGCCGCAAACAACTGCTTTCAAATACATGCGAGCCCTTGTACCGCGATTGACGCGATGACTGCGCAGTCGCAGAAAAACGAAAATTGCCGATGCTGGTTTTCACATGCCAGAACAGCCGTTGAAAGGCAAAGTGTGCAAAGACCGATCGACGGCCGGGTGAATCTTGAGCGCCCCTAGGTGGGCTCGCCCATCTGACTATCAACAAAAAGTTCAGACTGACCCCGAAGAGGCTCCAAATACGCCCCTGAAGAGGAGCCCCAAATAGGCTCCATCAGCGATGGGTCCCTCGCCCCGCCCGCTTCGATGCGAAGGCTTTACCTATCGGTGCCGCCCACCCACTGGCCCCACCCCCTTCCCCCTCCACGTCCAGAGAAGCGCACGCTGCACGGCGTCCTCTGCAAGGAAGGACGGCCTAACGTCGGGTGGCCCAGGGGCTGCCGTCACGCCCAGTACTGCTCCACCAGCTGCTCCACGCGCGCTACCTCGAGCACGTCTGAGCTGCTGCAACACCTGCTGTCGCAGTCCGCATCGCTCGACACCTCTGAGGCGCACACGGACCTCGAGTCCGACGCCGTGCTGCACGTCTCCGACAGGGCCTCCAGCTTGTCCGCTGGGGCGAACGCTGTGGGCTCCGCAGCCCGCTCGGGTCGTCGCCGGTGCGTCTTGCACGCGTCCAGGATCATGCCCGTGAAGTCCCGGACGGTCTCCCTGATCATGCTCAGCTGCTCGGCGATCTCGGTGTACTCCAGCTCTGCGGCGCTGGGCGAATCGAGCGTCCTCAGCGTCCTTGGGGGAACATAAGCTTGGCGAAGGGCCAACCATATGCAGTTGTGAATACCGTCGTTGCTAGTATCGCCTTCTGTGGATCTCCTTATGGGGGCCACGAAGTGCGTGAATAGCGTGCCGAAATGCGGCAGGGCGGAGCTCCCTATGGGGCCACGAAGAGGTGTGAGGGGTGTGCCAAAATGGGGCGGCGCCGCCATGCGGACTGCGCCACTGGGACCTCAGGTGGATCTCTCCATGATGCTACGAAACGTGTGAGGAGTGTGCCAAAATGGGGTGGCGCCGCCATGCGGACTGCGCCACTGGACCTTCGGTGGAGCTCCTTAAATAAGGCCGCGAAACGTGTAAGGGGTGTGCCAAAATGGGGCGGCGCCGCCATGCGGACTGCGCCGCTGGGACCTTAGGTGAAGCTCCCTATGGTGCCACGAAGCGTGTGAGGGGTGTGCCAAAATGGTGCGGCGCCGCCATGCGGACTGCGCCACCAGGACCTTAGGTGGAGCTCCCTACGGGGCCACGAAACGTGTGAGGGGTGTGCCAAATTGAGGCGGCGCCGCCACGCGGACTGCGCCACTGGGACCTCAGGTGGAGCTCCCCATGGGTTCACGAAACGTGTGAGTGGTTTGCCAAAATGGGGCGACGCCGCCATGCGGACTGCGCCACTGGGACTTTAGGTGGAGCCCCCAACGGGGCCACGAAACGTGTGAGTGGTGCGCCAAAATGGGGCCACGAAACGTGTGAGGGGTTTGCCAAAATGGGGCGGCGCCGCCATGCGGACTGCGCCACTGGGACCTTAGGTGGAGCTCCCTACGGGGCCACGAAACGTGTGAAGGGTGTGCCAAAGTGAGGGGGTGACGGGACGAGGGGGGAGGAGGGGGGAGGAGGGGGAAGAGGAGAGGAGAGGAGAGGAGAGGAGAGGAGAGGAGAAGAGAGGAGAGGAACGCGGGGACCTTCTCTGCAAAACGAGGGCCCAACACCACAGGACGGTTGGGAACAAAAAGCATAAACATAGACTTTTGGAGGCCCGCGCGGATTTCTTGGATCTGTGCTGAACCCCTTGCCTGGCGCGCGCCAAGGGCAGCACCGGAGGCGCCGCCAGGGGGGTCCAGCGCAGATCCGATAAATCCGCGCGGAGCTCCGAAAGTTTTGGTTTATGCAGTTTTCTCTTCTTCAGTCCTGGCCGCAGTCTCCAGGGCGCGGGTCGTGCTCGCGGCGCACCCGAGGCCCTCCAGGTGGCGGAGGAGCTCGGGCGAGGGCTCGCCGTCCGGGCCAGCTCGCAGCACTGAAGGGGACCGCAGCGCCTCCTCCATGGCCTCCAGCACCTCGAGGCGACGAGATCTCTGCACGTCCGCTGCCCTAGGCCTGGCCCCTCCTGGGCCCAGGCGCGGCGTATACGACCTCCTGGCTTGGCCAGGGAGGCATACATCCCCGTTACGAAAGTTAATTCATCTGGGCTAAACTTGACATGTGCGGGCGCTGTGGTGAGAAGTGGTATGGGAGTGATTCTTCCTTGTGGTTTCATACGGGGAGAGATTCAGAGTTGCCTGGAAATGACCCGGAGTGATTTCTCCCTTGTGAATTTACGGGGGAGAGATTTTATCCTGAATTGGTTATATACTATTTAATGTTACCAGGGAGAACCCCGGAAATCTCTCCTGCCAAGCCAGGCCGAAGACTGCCGTGCTAGGAGTCTACGGGGGAAAGGGGGGGCCACTCGGAGACGCCCTAGTCGTCAGTGCTCAAGATGAACAACTTTCGTAACGGGTAAGTATGCACTGCTCGTGGGTCAAGGGTGCGCCCGGCCTTGGGCGGTGGATCTGTGTGCGTAGAGCTTGCCTTGCCCCGCACCTGCAGCGCCAACTCGATGCCACAGACAATCCTCGCGCGCCGCGCCGTGCACACCTTGCTCCTCTCGCGCCCCGCGGGGACGGCCGCCACGCCCCTGATCAGCGCGACGGCCAACCTCTGGGAGTCGTCAGCGGGGCGGCCAGCTCGGACCCGGCGGGCCGCTGCGCTGGCCACAGCGGCGCGGCTGGGGCTGGCCGGAGACCGAGACGTGCCAAAAGACGCAAGGGCGTCCCAGCTGAGCATGACGCCGCGGCTGCGCTGGCGAGTCCGTGCAGAAATGGAGGGCTGGCGTCCACAGCGGGCCTGGGGTTGCTGCCACCTGCTCCCTGGTAAACCACAACGGGCTCTTGTCTTGAACCAAGAAGGCTTTGGTCGCGCGGTGTCGAAGGATGCATACGAGCAATCAAGGACAACGAGGGGAGAAAGGAGGCTTCCGCCGCGCGAGTCGATCCTCTTGATGCGCTGGGGCCTGTGGCGGGCTACTCTGCGAGCTGCCCAACGGCCCTGCCAGCGCGCCCTTTTCCGTCTCTCCCTCGCGCCATGTGCTAAAGTGGGGGGGGGGGGGCGGGCACGCTGAAGGGAGCGGGGAGGGGCCTTGCTGGGGAATCTCACCAGCCCTCTGGGCGGAGGTTGTATAACGAGTTTTCCCTTCCCTCTTACCCAAATCCGTTTCCCCTTATTCGGCGAGGGGCTTACCACTGCTGCTGGGCTCTAATAAGGCCCTAAGTGGGTCCCACGAGGTCCCCAAGAGCGCGACAAGGCCTCCGAGATGGCCCCAAGAGCCCCCCCCCAAAAAGTTTCTAACTGTACCATCGCTTGCTTCACTACATGTTTCAAAATGCCCCTTCTCCAGGTAGCTCTCATGGGCATCGTTTGTGGATGGGCTGGTGGGGATACGGTGAACGCCAAGAACCCGTTAGAAGGATGCAAGGCACTTCCTGTTCAAAATGAGGTTCTTGTCCCGATGGCATGTGCATAGGGTGCTCGTCTTCCAAGAGGGGAGTTCCTCGCAGTGGAAAGGACATATTTTACGTACTCACGAAAATAGATTTGGGCTGCGAGGGTACTTTGCAGCATCGTTGATACACATTGTGTTAACTATGGTCCTCCTCCTCCTCCTCCTCCCCCTGATCCTGCTCCTCCTCCTCCTCGTCGTCGTCCTCCTCCTCCTCCTCTTCGGCGCTCGGCACTGGTGGCATTGATGTCACAATTGTCCTCCTCCTCCTCCTCCTCCTCCTCCTCCTCCTGCTCCTCCTCCCTCCTCCTCCCTCCTCCTCTTCCTCCTCCTCCTTCTCCTCCTCCTCTCCTCCATGCCCTCCAGCTCGCCCATCACCTGCTCCACCCACCTCCCCCCCTCTCACCTCCCCCACCCATCCCTCCTCCATTCCTTCTCCTTATGAATACACTCCTCCCTGTCGCACCCCGAGACCAGTGTTTAGGGCGGGCCGGGCGTTTCGCCCGAGAATTCCTCACCATTTGTGACCCTGCAGCTTCAATAAAGGGTGGCAACAGTTTCACAAATGGAGGGCGGGTGGTTTTCGAAATGTGGCTCTCGCCTTAGCGCCGCGCACATTCGATTTAAACATTTGCAAGAGTTGCACGGATTGAGGGCGGGTGATTTCAAAATGTGGCTCTCCCCTTAGCGCCGCGCACATTCGATTTAAACATTTGCAAGAGTTGCACGGATTGAGGGCGGGTGATTTCAAAATGTGGCTCTCGCCTTAGCGCCGCGCACATTCGTTTTCAATAATTTGCTAGAGTTTCACGGATTGAGGGCGGGTGTTTTTCAAAATGTGGCTCTCGCCTTAGCGCCGCGCACATTCGTTTTCAAATGTTGCAAGAGCTTCTCGGATTGAGGGCGGGTCGTTTTCAAAATGTGGCTCTCGCCCTAGCGCCGCGCATATTCGTTTAACATGTTGCAGGAGTTGCACGGATTGAGGGCGGTTCCTTTTCAAAATGTGGCTCTCGCCTTAGCGCCGCTTACATTCGGTTAAAAAGTGTGCAGGCGCTTCATGGACTCCCATGATCAGCGCACCAGAAATGGTGTTTTGGAAAGATTACGCGGGTGCAACCGTTATGTTCATTCGCGGTGCTGTAATCAAAAAATGGCGTTATGGCACGATTCTGGATCGCCAAAACGCAGCAGTCAGGTTGATACGTGGCGTTGAGGTCCCGAGAACAATGTTTTGGCATGCTTCAGGATCTTCAAACGGTTGTCTTCCAACGAGGCAGTTCCAACCTGGAAATGAACCGTTGTAGGGGCCTATGAAGAGGGAGCTTGGAGGTTGAGTTAATTCCAACATCGTTGATGACTCTTGGGTTTATACTGGTCCTCCTCCTCCTCCTCCTCCTCCTCCTCCTCCTCCTTTTCTTAAGGAAGCCGCGGAGACAGGGCTCGTAGCGTCAATCCTCCTCTTCCTCCTCCTCCTCTCCTCCTCCGCCTCCTCCTCCTCCTCCTCCTCATCCTCCTCCCTCCTCCTCCTCCTCCTCCTCCTCCTCCTCCTCCTCCTCCTCCTCCCCCCCCCCACCTCCTCCCCCGCCCCTTCCCCCGCCTGGGGAAGAGGCCGGAAGCCCCCACCCCCCCAGACAGAGCGGCAGGCCCTAGCGGGGTCCCTCGCCGCCGCCGCCTCGCGCCGGGCGGCACGCGCTGCGCGGGGAGCCGCGCCGGCGGCGGCGGCGCCCTCTGGGCAGCCGCTGTCCGGCGCGGCCGCCCTCGGCGGCCGCCCGGCAGCCGGCCCGGGGGGCGCCGGGGCGCTGCCTGGCGAAGCGGGCGCGGGCCCCCAGGTCCGGGCGGTGCAGTGTCGTCGCGGCGGGCCTCTGCACCCCAGCGTCGGGCCCCTGGGGCAGTTGCAGACCACTGGTGCGCGTCGAGGAGCGCAGGAGGAGGAGGGGGCCAGGGGGTCAGGGCCGTGTTGCTTCTCACGGAGGTGCAGATCTTTTCGGGGGGAGCCGAGACCTCCCTGCGGCCTTCCGCCACCTGCCCGTCGGCAGGTCGGTGGCCAGGCGTGCAGCACGGGCGATCTCGAGAGGGAGGGGGTCAGGGAAACCTTCCCCTCCGCCAGTTCGACGCCGCACGTGCCAGAGGCGACGGAAGCGAGAGCGATACAAACATTTTACCGACTGCCAGAGGCGGGACGGCGAGCACCGCACGAGAGCAAGGACAAGGCGTTCAGGAATGGGGGCAGGGAACTGGGAGTGGGAGTGGGGGGCCATTGCAACATTCTTCCAAAGGAGATGTCGGCACACGATGTGACAGGACAACCATCTCTGCAACTTTCACAACCGAGCCAGCAGCCTTGGTCGGCATTCCGTAAACGATTGCATACGTGTATCAATGACGCAACCGCCAGAAGGGCAGGAGGAGGAGGAGGAGGAGGAGGAGGAGGAGGAGGAGGAGGAGGAGGAGGAAGGCGCCAAGACCAAGACGGCCCAAGAGGCCTCCAAGAAGCCCAAGATGGCCTCCAAGACGGCCCTGGAGCACCCAAAGAGGGCCCCAAGTCGGCCCAGAGAGGCCCCCAAGCTGGCTCCCGACGACGACCTGGGAAGCTCCCCAGATTCCTCTCTCATGGCCCAAATTCTTCTCTCATGGCCCAAATTGCCCCCACTGGGGCTTCGGTCCATTGTCCTGGCCACCTGGGAAGCTCCCCAAATCCCCCTCTCATGGCCTGGATCGCCTCTAAGACGGCCCGCGTGGGCCAGCACGGCCTCCACGAGGCGTCCAACACGCCTCCAAGACGACAAAGATGGCCCCAGGAGAGCCCCAGATGGCCCCAAGATGCACCCAAGAAGGCCCAAGATGGCCCAAGACGGCCTAGGAGGCCTCCAAGATGGTCCAACAGGCCTCCAAGAGGTCCTCCAGGAGGGCCCGAAGAAGGCATGATCATTGATGTTCCTGAGGTTTTCGAAGGATGCTGGCATTTGCTTCTTTTTGGCCTTCGGACGGCCCAAGGTGACCCCAAGAGGCTCCTAAGGTTGTCTCAAGATCGCCCAGGAGGCCTCCAAAATGGTCCCAGGACGGCCAAAAGAGGGTCCCAAGACGACCCCAAAGGGCACCAAGACGGCCCAAGAGGCCTCCAAGACGCCCAAGATGGCCTCCAAGACAGCTCTTCAGTGCCCCAAGAGGGCCCCAAGACAGCCCAGAGAAGCTCCCAAGATGGCTTCCGACGATGTCAGACGGGCCAGGAACGCCACAGGACGGCCAAAGGGGCCTCCCAGAAGTCTCCAAAGGCCCTCAAAAGGCCCAAGAGGCCCCCAAGAGGCCTCCAAGAAGCCCCCAAGAAGCTACCAGGAGTCCCCAGGAATGACGCACGAGGCTCCCAAGAAATCTCGTCCTCCTCCTCCTCCTCCTCCTCCTCCTCCTCCTCTTCCTCCTCTTCCTCCTCTTCCTCCTCTTCCTCCTTCTTTTTCCTCCCTCTCCTCATCCTCCTCTTCCTCGCCCACGTGTTTCTCGAAAGGTTTCCACAGCGGCTCGGGGAACACCTAGCCCGATACTTTGTTCAAGCTCTGGACCCAAACGTTTGGCCACAGAGGCGCTTTTGAAAAAGGCAAGTCGCGGCGCTGATTCGCCGTAGGCGTCTTCGGTAAGCAAGGGGAGGGAAGAGGTGCGGCACAGGGGATGGAGGAGGCGGAAGAGGAGAAGGCCGACGAAGTGAAACAGGCGGAGCAGCAGGAGGAGGACAAAGAGCAGGGAAGGGCCAAGTTAGACAGATCGAACGCGTCAGCGGGGCCCGTCCATTCCCAGAGTAATGCGCTGTGGCGCACCTGGATCTTGGGATTGGAACGCGTTCCCACCGAGCGAACGAACAGCGCTCGAGCGCGAACCCGCTTCCGACGGCTCGGCGAGAAGGGAAAACAGCGCGGGCCGCGCAAGGGCGGGAACGGCACAACTTCCGATGAGAGCGGCGAAGACGCAGCATGCACCGCGCCGACTCAGCAGTGCCACTCTCGCGCACGAGCTCCACGGCGCGGGTGCGAGGACCACATTTCGCCTGCTCTTGCGCGGCCCCGCTGCCGCTGCCGCTTGCACGCGATTCCGCGCACGAGGCATGCGCTGCGCCCGCGCGGCAGCGCAACTTTCGAGCAAAATGTGCACGGAGGCGGGCGAGCGCGACATGTCGCCCGCTCGTGCGGGGGCCCAAAACTTGGGGCGACTGAAGAGTGTGCGCCGCGCCCACGCGGAAGCGCCACTCTCTGCGCGCCGCCGAGGCGATGGCAACGTGTTCCTCCGCTCGCGCGTCGACGATTTGGCGAGCAAGACCATGTGCGACGCGCCCCAGCGGGACCTCAACTCCTCGGGAGAATCACCGCGGCACCGAAGCGAGAGCGACAAGTCAGAACAAACACATCGACGTCGCTGTGTTTTCTAACGAGTAGGATGGGTGGGCCTGGATGGGGTTGCTATCTGCTGCCAAGGTGGCCAAATCGGAGTATATCGAATAAGGAATAAGGACGTGGTGGGGGGAAGAGAAAACTCTCCCTTTCCTCAGTTCCCACCTCCGTCCCTCCCTCCCTCCCTCCCTCCTGCTCTTTCCACTCCCTCCGTCCTCCCTCCTCCCTCCTCTTCTTCCCGCCCTCTGCTCCCACCATCCATCCTCAGTTTCCCCCTCTTAGACGAGGAAGCGGCAGGGCTCCCGCCAAACCCTCGACCGCCTTGGGCTGCCGGCGGCTGGAGCGGCCGCCCCGCGTCGTACTGCGCCCTCACGTGAGCGGATGGGACGGCGAGGATTCCTCCTCCCTCCTCCCCTCTTCCAGCCCCTCCTCCTCCTCTTCTGTTCGTTCCATCCTGCTCTGCCTACTCCCCCGCC